GTGTGTGTGTGTGTGTGTGTGTGTGTGTTTGACTGTATGTAGCATCAACAAATTGTCTCATGAGCCATCGAACAAATGTCAGTGTAATCTGGAGATAATAATCATTGGATGAACATCCACAAGTGACAAGCAACTTTTAGAGAAAACCCAATTCAAGATGGCTGCCACAGCCAACAGATCAAAAATAAAATAAAATAAAAACTATAAAATCAGTTTTACAGATACTGACCTAAAATTTTGTGTGTTAGCAGCTAAGACTGATCCCCAACACCGATTCTAAGCGCTAACAGATTGAGCACAATCTTTGTTTGAAATTTTGACAACTATTTACTCAACTCTGTTAGCAAAATATGTCATGAATCACAAGATAGATTTTTTTTAAAACTTTTAGCAAACAATTATTGGATGGACATTTACAACTGAATAATCTATGAAGCCAACCCAATTCAAGATGGCCGCCACAGTTAGTTGACCTTAGTAAACACATAAAAGCCTTTAAGTCAGTTATTTTTGCAGGCATTGCACTAAAATTTGGCGTGGTAGTAGCTGAGACTTACTCACAACACGTGAGTGTGACATGTCGCGACATCACGTGAGATTACGCTAAAGCATTTTCAGGGTTTTAAAAATAAGGTCGCAATTCTGTCATTTTATTTACATGATGATCGTAGTTTAAAACTCTATGTATTCCTTCAAGAAATACTATATTTTTAAATATTTGTATTATTAGTCTGTCAGTTCTGCCACCTTTTGTTGCAAATTGCCTTTTAAAAATTTGGGGGTTCTTTTTTATTTGGTTTAAATCTGTGCCAGTAGTGATGATGTGTTTGGCTTCATGTTTGAGGTTATGATAGCAAAGAGCTGTGAGATCAACTTACTGTAGCCACTTAGTGACATCAGCAACTACTGCAGACTGATTCAGTGTAGTTTAAAATAGTTAAAATTATTATAGATGAACAACATTCAGCATAATTTAGTCACAACCTAACCAAAACAAATCTTTTTCAGATCATTGGCTGTCCATTAGGATCACTTTTCACATTAAAACATTAAGAACAGATTTGATGTATTTTCATTTCTTTTTTCTTTTTTTTTTTTTCAGGCTCTTTTCCCTCTGGAACTTTTGCGGTTTTCAGAGAGTGTGTGTGTGTGAGTGTGTGTGAGTGCATGTGTGGGTGTGTTTGAACTGCAGTTGCTCTTCATCGTTTTTGACAAGAGCTACTCCTCCCTGGAGGATGACAATGGAGGAGATGAAGAATGAAGCGGAGACAAACTCCATGGTATCCATGACGCTGTACGCTGTGATGTATCCAGTTTTTACTGAGGTAAAGCAGCCGAAGACAAAAGTGTTACTCCACAAAAAATAAATAAATAGTAGTCACACTTTAATGTTAAGCAGAATCTCATTTTGATGTAATTAGCAGATCGGATCATATCTCTTTGTTAAATCATCTGTTTATGATATTTGTCTCATAAGAAAAAGAATAATTCTAAAGTGACATTATTATGAACAATATTTCCCATAGCATCATATTTTAGCTGCTGATTAGAAATTCGAAGCTAATGTTTATGTTTGTTTTTTTGTCCCAAACTGGAGATTATCTGAACTTGGTTTGACAATAAAAGCTTCTACGTTAAGTTGGCTCACACAGACACATTTCTAAGACCTCCAGCCTTTTTTGTCCAGGGCTTAGTGATATACTTGGTGTTTCTTTTTCCATTGCATGGTTCCCTTTTTTGGTTAGTACTGCAGTCAAGTTTCCAAGTAAGGCAAGTTGGTGCCAAACAACACTGTGGTTGTTTTCAAAGTTTTCAGGTTAAGCACTTGTGGCTGTGAGCACCAGTGCACACCGGGCAACCTGAGAACAGACTTTTATGTGCCCAGTTCATGAAAATTAGAGCATTTAAAAAAATATGGATTTACAGCTGGATCTGTTTTATTTCTCTGCTGAACAGAGTACTTTAATTACTACTTTAAGTGGGGTTTTGTGGAAAGGAAATGAACAGTTATAATTTTACCTGCTGCAAAAAGCTCTTTAGATGACCTCCATTTGGAGAAATGGATTTTAATTCTGATCAGCTAACAGCTAGGATGGGGCAAAAATCAAAGTGGACTGCTGCCATTTTAAAGCAACTTCAGAAACCATTACATTGTCATCAGGGTTGCACAGCAAGTGCTACAGCTAGCTACTATCCTTGCAAATGACCATCAATTAAATGTAAATCATCAGGTAATGTGAAATTGCCTGCAAAGTAAAGGCTTATAAATTTGTGTTTGATTGAACTGCTATCAGTTTTTTGTTTTAAATATGAGTTGTTTTAAGATGCCAGCAATTTGTCATTCAATATCTACAACAGGAAAGATATTAATTGTAGGGTTGGGCATCATTTGAATTTGAACGATTCCGGTTTTCAACGATTCCCTTTTCCGATTCTTTTTAGAAGCAGGGTCTAAACAGTTTACATGGTTTTAAGGAGGTAGCTGCAAAAATTGCCCATCTAACCAAGTCTTAAAATCTTCTATCCAGCCAAAAATTATTTATGATCTTTTTTGAGACTGATATACTGAGCAAGAAAAGAATGTTAGGTTAATATTCTTGTTAGTTTGGGAATATTTCTTGTCTTAAGGCCCTGTCACACTAGACAACTTATGCCAAGTTATGAAATATTTTTTATGTCTAAATTGCTCATAAAATAGCCTCGTAAAAACCAGACCCTTGTCCTTCACTTTGCTTCGTACAGAGGGTCTGGACTCAGTGCTGTTGAGAAGCGATTTCTTGCAGGCGGCGTGGCCTCTGCTGAAGTGTCGCTGTGAAGGAGGCTAAGCTAAGAAGCTAACCGGAAATCGCGTGTGCTGAAAACAACCCTACTGAGAGGAGAGAAGTACCAAGCTGAACGAGACGACAGTAAATGAGAGCTGCTGCTTTGTCAGACAAATTTATTTTAATTTGGAAGCCTTATCAACAGAGACTGGCTTCATTCACTTCCTCCACTGCTGTATGCTAAACTAACTAGCAGACACTGTGCAGAACATCGTTGTCATTCAAAACTCCGCCTTCTGTTTGCTTATTGGCCCAGGTAAAATAAACCAGAAGCAGACACTGTGCAGAAAATCGACGTTCTGTTCTCTGATTGGCCCGGCTAAAAATCTGCCAGTGAAATCCTTGTCAATGGGAGAAGTCCCAGACGGAGCAGTGAAGGGAAACTAGAATTGAGCGGAGCTGCGTAGGAAGGCAGAGGCCAGGCTAGCTTCAACATAGTCATCTTTTAAATGTTCATAAGTTCATAAGTTGTGTAGTGTGACAGGGCCTTTACCAAGGGCAATTGACTTACTGCACTGACAGATTATTAAGTGAGTCACACTGTGCTTTTGCATGCACACTATAGGGTTGGGCATAATCGTATCGTGTGTGATTAATCATCAGAAAAACATTAATTGATTATGTTTTTGGCACTGGACAATTAATGTGATTGTTTCCACCAGGCAGACTGACTGGTGCTCCTCTCCTCTTCAAATATGACGAACATTAAAAATAAGTTCTGTAATTTATTTATCCATCAACACAATTTAAAATTTGATTTATAGCCTGAAGTCTGTAATTTTGACACAATTTGGAACAGATTTGTACAAAGAGAAAATCTTTCCCGCTAAATTTGTCATGTGATCAGGACATAAGAATGTCCAGGGACTTAATCATCAAATTAATCGTTATCGGCTAAATAGCACAATTAATCGTGATTATGTCTTTTGCCGATATTGTCCAACCCTTGCACACTACCTGGGGATTCTTCTTTGGTGGTCGGGCGGCTCACACATTCTTCTTTGTATGTGCTCAGGTGGCTCACCTGTGAGTTTTTCTTGCTTGGTTTTTGGCTTCTTCTTCTTCTTCCAGTCGGCGGACTGGGTATCAAAACGAGAAATCAAAATTTTAAAATTTGCACCATTCCAGGAGAATTGAAACGTTAGTCCCGGTTCCAATGGAGACTCGAGACTTGATGCCCAATTCTAATTAGTTGTTATTAACCTTTCCAAAATCTCTATTTCAAAATATTTGAACTGTCCCTTTAAAACTAGTCAAAAACTTTTTTCAGTGCAAAACCTGCACTATAAGTCCCTTTGATCAAAAGTGCTTGCAAAATGTTTTGTAGCCAGATAAAGACAGACACACAGAGAGAGTGTGTGTCATCACAGCGTCACACTCGCCATGACAAAAAAAAAAACAAGCTGATTCTGCTGACAGTCCAATAGAATCAACGCTGTGCCCTGAAATAGGAAAGCACAAAGTGACTGCTTCACTCTGTATATTTTTAGTTTTGACAGTGAAATTCACTCTCTTCTCTTCTTTTCTTCCTCCATTTTTTAGCTGGAGAGGATCAACATGTCAGCTGCTCAGACGCTCAGAGCAGCCTTCAAAAAGGTGAGCTGAAACATAAAATAACTCACATCAGCCATAGCAGTTCTCTGATATGTTACATTTATAATTCATCTGATGCACGCTTTTATTTAAAAAACCCAGACATTTTGGCTCTGACTTTATGCAAATAGTAACTCCCTTTTTTTTTTAGCAACATCACCGTAACAACTTTGCATCATCTATTTCCTTTGTGGAAGTAATCGACACAATACAACTGTGTCAGAAAACTGTTCCACTTACTATTAAGTAATAGTGATCGTTGTTTAAACAGATAAAACCTTTGACTTAAATTCAGATTAGTTATTTAGATTACAAATTGGCCTTCAGTTTGAGAGTTGTTGTCAATTGCAAACACGCTTTGAAGAGCCATGTTCGGCTTTTGCACTTCTCCTGTTGCACTTTCAGTGCTTTCTTGTGACACTAGGGGTCATGGCAGCCTCACAAATGGTTTTAACTTTGGTGTTTACCCACACAAAAAGCTGTCCCAACAAATAATTTGACTACTTGTTAGTCGGAGTGTTATTGGAATATTAGTGATGGTGATATTCAGGTTGATGACCATAATGCAATAATGTTTACTTTTAATGTTTACACTGCTCTGATTACAATGATCAAAACATGTATAAATTGCTGTTACAAATATAAGACCTAAGATGAGCAGATTAAATAATTATGAGGGAGAGACAGCTTTGTTGTCGTGCAGACCAAAAGGCTCTCTGATCACCTTACAGGTGTTTTATTGTAACCTCAATGGTTCTTTTGTTTACTTCTTGTCGTTGCACCAGTTGTGTCTTGACTGATATAAATAAGGCTAAATGATCCTGTGCTTTCATTCGAACTGCTAACACTTTGTCCCTAGCTTTGTTTCCCCAGATAAGAATTTTTGCACTAAAACTATTTCCTCGTACCAGAACAGTGCGATTCTCCTTCCTCATCCTGCATGCGTGTTCCTCCTCTGTTGTCAGGCTGAGCGGGAGAACCCTGGTCTGACGCAGGACATCATAATGAAGATCCTGGAGAAAAAGAACGTTCAAATCAACTTCACCGAATCCCTGCTGCGCATGGCTGCAGATGACGTGGAAGGTGAGCTGTAAATAGTCTCTGGGTTTTTTTTGTTGTTGTTGTTGTTCCTGCTGTGTTGTGATCTAAAAAGCCCCCCAGTGTTGACTCTGATGGGCGTCTTCTCCTGCAGAGTTCATGATTGACCGGACCGAACAAGAGTTCCTGGACCTAAATGAAAAGGCCAGAGCACTGAAACACATTCTTAGCAAAATCCCAGATGAGATCAACGACAGAGTACGCTTTCTACAAACTATCAAGTGGGTGTTTTTGCTGTTTTGAAAGAAATATTCTAATTCCTACTGATTCATCTTAAAATGTGCAGCTCTGACTCAGTAAATGATAAAGAAGGCTGGTTCTGTTCTGGGCACGACTGTGGAATCTCTGGAGATGATGGTGCAAAGAAGGATTTTACATAAAATCCAGAACATTGTGGACAACCCTGACCATCCTCTTCATCAGACTGTCACAGAAAGACAAAGTGTCTTCAGTCGGAGGCTTCTTCAACTTCGCTGTAATACAGACGCTACAGAAGATCTTTCCTGCCCACAGCCATCAGCATCTACAATGTTTTTAGTTAAATGAGTTACAACAACACCTAATTTCCCTCTGGGATCAATAAAGTATTTTTGAATTGAATTGAAATGTAGATATATTCCACATCCAAGATCAGTTCTGAGCTGCAGTTGTCTAATCTTTAGTCAATCATGATGTGTCTGTCTCCAGTAGATATGTGGTGGCGTTGCATTAAAGGACTGCTTTGTTTCACATTACAGCAAATATTGGGTTATTTTTATGTAGCAACACCTATTTAAATCTCTATGAGGCAGTCTATGTTGATTGTTACAAAAGAACCAGTTAATTTAAGTGCAGAACAAGGTGATAACTGTTCTGTGAGGTAAAGTGAAGCAAGGCCGTGTGGGTTTAAAGTGATCAATGCAGCTTTAAAGGGATCCCCRATTAGTTGTAACATTAGACTTTATTTGATAAACATACATTTTAACTGTAAAATAAAGACTGTAAAAATACCGTAGGATGTTCAGTTTTTATCATTTTTAAACTAAAAGTTTAAAAATATATTACACGGACGGGGCCATTTTATTTACACGCAAAGCATTCTGGGTAAATGATGACGTGGATAGGTCCTTGGTGCGAGGCTGCTAGTGAGCTATATCCACCCTGAAGGTTAATCTTGGACAATATCTGATGATCGACTCTTTTAAATGAAACCAGAGAGCGTTGACAGAGAGGAGAAGGTAGAAATGACTCAACCTGTAACTGAAAATATGGATGGAGGACCTCAGTTTAGCTTGTTAGTTTTTGCGCTAGCACCGAGCTAATACATATAAGGCTATATAGTGTCGGTGTTAATGCAAAGGCTAACAGGCTAAGCTGAGGTTCTTCTTCCATGAAGCAGCTCTGTTGACCTCCATCCATATTTTCAGTTACAGGCTGAGTCATTTCTACCTTCTCCTCTCTGTCAACGCTCTCTGGTTTCATTTAAAAGAATCGATCATCAGATATTTTCCAAGATTAACCTTCAGGGTGGATATAGCTCGCTAGCAGCCTCACACCGAGGACCTATCCACGTCATCATTTACCCAGAATGCTTTGCCTGTAAATAAAATGTCTCCGTCCGTGTTAAAATATATTTTTTAAAAATTACAAAACTAAACAGCCTACAGTATTTTTACAGTCTTTATTTTACAGTTAAAATATGTTTATCAAATAAAGTCTAATGTTACACCTAATCTGGGATCCCTTTAAAACGTGGCCACTGTGGCAAGTAAATGACTTAAACTAGAGAAGCTAAAAGGAGTTTTACAGTGAAGTGGATATAAAAATGCTGCGTATTTTTTACCATTCTGACTTTTTTGCTTGTTTCTTACTGGTGTTGTCTTCTGTTCACAGAGACATAGCCAGCGCCATAAAAGAGCTCCTGGACACAGTCAACAACGTCATTAAGAAATATCAGTACCAGAATCGCAGAGTGAGTAACAAACACATGATTACATTTGTAATTGTTGAACATTGTCTCCATTTCTAATATATTTTTAATTCCCTCGAAGGCTCTGGAGCACCAGAAAAAGGAGTTTGTGAAGTACTCCAAAAGTTTCAGTGATACCCTCAAAACATACTTCAAAGATGGAAAGTAAGTGTAAATCTAAGCCCCTGCCTCAGCTTTTTGCTGCACTGTTCATGAAACATAAGACAGGGATACTAACCTGGTTTCAGACTTTAGAATCAGTCCGCTACATGGTTTTTTTTTTTTTATATATGATCAAGTATTGTCAGATTGGACAATTTCTAGGTAAAAAAAAACCAAAAACTAATTAGCATCAAAGTAGGACCTATATTTGGAGCCCCAATTCAGAAAAAATTGGGACATTTTGTAAAATGTAAAAAAATAAAACTGCATTGATTTTAAAATATCATACACAATAAAGCACAGGAGCTGTTAAATGTTTAAATTAAAATATTATCACATTATTTTTAATGTAACTTTGAATTTTATGACAACAACACAGCTTAAAGTAAAGTATGTTTACCTCTATTAGTATCTCTTCTTATTATCGATCTGTAAACCTCTGGGACCTGAGGAGACCAGCTGCTGGACGTTTTGTTTTGGAGAATGTTGTCCCATTCTTGTCTGGTGTACAATTCTAGCTGTTCAAATGTTCTGGGTCTTTTCTGGATTTTTTTTTGTTTTGTTTCATGTTACTCAAATGTTTTCAACTGGTGAGAGGTTAAGACCTGCAGACACCCAGACTGTTCTGCTACAAAGCCTCGCTGCAGTGGGAGGGTTAGCACTGTCTTGCTGAAATATGTAAAGCCTTTTGGTGAGAAAGATGTCTAGCTGGAAGCATTCCCACATAGCAGACAGGTGTGGGCCAGATCTGGTGTCCAACTGCCACTGCTGGCATGGCAAGGGGTAGGCCTGTCGCTATAGTCAATAAATCAATTAATTGCACGATAAATTTTTTGAGGTCGGTAAAAAAAATGAGGACGATAAGTTTCATTTTCCTGCTTGTTTGTTTACTTCGTCTCTCTCCCTCTCTGTGCTCCGCTGCACAGGAGCTCAGCTGACTCCTCCCCTCCTGTTTTCTTAGTGTCGGGAGGAGTGAACTCTCGCGTTAGCGTGAGAGCTGGTAGCAATAACAAACTAAAGAAACGTTTCAAAGCAGAACGCGGCTGCTGCAGTGTGGGAACACTAGAGCCTGAATTTCGCTGCGGGGAGACACTGAGAGAGAGAGGAGGAGGAGGAGAGGTGGGGACTGAAACTCCCCCAGACCCGCGACAAACTCGTCAAGACTTTACCTGTAGCTCCCAAAAATAACAGAAAACTTAAACGCACCATCTGTGTTTTAACTAAACACCCAAAAAACCTGTAGCTGTCCCAACAACTCATGAGGAAAACTCTAAACTGTCTGATTTCCTCCCCCGCAGCGCTCTGCTTGTCTCCTCACTGAGAGTCCCCTCCTCACACACACACACACACACATACACATATAGACACGTTTGTTCTTCTATCCTCATGGGGACTTTCATTCATTTACCAGTATTTTCTATTACCATTTGAGCCTAAACCTAGCCTACACTTTACATGGGATGTGAACTGGGCTTATGTCCCCATAAGAAACAGTGGGTTCTCACCAGGCTGTGTAGTTTGCTTCATCTCTAAAGAGATGCTGCTCTTTAATATTGTTTATTTACTGTCTTAGTTGTGTGTGATGTTTAATTTACATTTTGTTGTTCTTTGGTTTTTTTATTCAAGTGCATTTTTTGTTAGAGACTGAGAGTCTACTTTGTTAAACATTCTTTAAAAATGAAAGTTTATTGATTTATTACACTTACATATTACGCTTTTATAATTATTAGTTGTAAAATGGTCACCAGGCAATATTATCGCTTATCGCAATAATTTGTGAGACAATTAATCACCCAGCAAAATTTGTTATCGTGACAGGCCTAGCAAGGGGTTTGCAACCGGATGTGGGCCAGGTCTGGCAAGGATGGCACTGTTTTTAAGATGGCGTGCCACAACTAGCCCGGTTGTGGTTTGGTTTTTGTGGTGCTGGCCCATGCATGGACCACCTCTGGCAAACCACAAAGGGCTGTCATTCTTTGTGTTATCTGTTCCAAGCGTTCGAGTTCTAGTGCCTTGTGTGGGCCAGAACTGGGCCTGACAAATTTAGCTATGTGGGTATGTTCTAAAACAAAGACAGACTCTGTCTTTCAGGGGAAAAAAAATAAAAAGCTCCAAAAGATTGAGGTCTCTCAATTTAAGATCAGCAAGTGTATGGGATAAGATAACTGTCAGAATTATTGTATGTGTAAGAGTCTAAATTTGTACATGTAAGTCTATAAACATACATAAATTTGTTATAACTTTGCCACATTACAAGTACGAATCAAATTTACAAGTACAATTCTTATGTGAGAATACAAGTTTTTAAGTTACAAATACAAGTAAATTTGTTATAACTTTGCCACATTACAAGTACGAATCAAATTTACAAGTACGAATCAAATTTACAAGTACGAATCAAATTTACAAGTACGAATCAAATTTACAAGTACGAATCAAATTTACAAGTACAATCCTTTTACCTGTCAAAATAACAGACATTATGCATGGAACACCGAAAAGATCGATTGCCTCTAGTGGTCTGGCTTAGTTACTGTTTGCAATCGATCTTTTCGGTGTTCCATGCATAATGTCTGTTATTTTGACAGGTAAAAGAATTGTACTTGTAAATTGATTCATACTTGTAAATTTGATTCGTACTTGTAATGTGACAAAGTTGTAACAAATTTATGTACGTTTATAGACTTACATGTACAAATTTAGACTCTTACACTTACAATAATTCTGACAGTTATCTTATCCCATACAAGTGTTTCTTTCCAAGGGGGCAGAACTGATTGATGGTCAACATTGTTAGAGCGTAAGACATAATTGCTGTTAGTTCTTTGTAGAAAAGTGCACAAATAAGACAGCACTAAGCCCGGCAGGGTCTTGTCAATTGGAGTAACTCAGTGTGTATACCTGTGTACACTCAGAGACCAGCTAGATTTAGTGTACAGCTCACAGTGAGGCAGGTGTAACCCGTGATGAACCTCAGGGTGCTGTGGTAGACTCTCCAAGGACTGGAGACATTAGGGTGGGGTCAGTATAATCAAGTAAAGGCATAAAGGTAGCTGATACGAAGATCTTTCTAACTCTGAGTGAGCAACAGGATTTGTTTCTAAAAGAACAACCCAGCTGTAGCTTGAATTTACCAACCAAATTAGCTGTGAGGACATGGTGGCCATGGTTTCCCATGAGAATTCTGATTTGTTTGACCACTGAACAGTTTTCCTTTTTAAATGAGCTCTGGCCCAGAGAAAAAGGTGGCAGCATTTCTGGATGGTGTTCACATATAGTTTCTTGTTTGTACGATAGAGCTTTAACCTGTGTTTGTGGATCTGGAGCTTGAAGTGTCCCTGAGTCCACGCAGTGCTGTCCAGAACAGAATCAGATCAGGCTTTTTCTGTTGTAGCTCCCAAACTTTGGAACGGTTTCATATTTTAGACTTTCATCATTGACACAATGCCCCCCAGCTTTGTTGGGATTGGGGTTGTACTTACATACCATTAACAAATTACCAGCAAAGTCAAGAAGTACTTTAAAACTTTATTTTTCATATTTTGATTTTTTTTTCAATGAAACCAACACAAGCAGTGCAGTTTCATACTGCCACCTGCTGGCAACACTACAACACTGCATTTATTCATCAGTGGAAACAAGGTGATCTTTGAGGAAATGGTTAAAGGGAAATAAACTGCAGAATATCCCTGCTGTTTACTTCCTGTGGTTCAGCTTTGTGTCGTCATGGACCTGAGTTTGTTTTTAGCTGAACCTCCTGCTTCAGTTCAGGAAGCACCAAACAGCAGGGATGCAACCTATGAACCTCATTTCCACAAAACGAGAAGTGAGAACAACAAAGTGTGGCCCATTTGAGTCATTCTGATTCAGTCAGCCATCGCTTTCCTGATGGAACAAACAATGATCAGAGGCTGCTGCCCAACAAACTGCTGCACTTAAATTAACACTTAAAACAGAGAGAAAAAAGTTTATTTATTTATTTAATTTTTAAAAACAGCAAATTTTATATACAATAAAAAATACAAATGACCAATGAAACGAAATGAAAGGCAGCAGAAAGAAAAAAAGAAACCTTATATCTGCCTTTCTCCATGAAATAAATTCAAACAATAATAATCTTTACAAAACAAAGAAAACGTTTTAGAACAAAAAGTTAATTTATTTGCTAAATTTATCAATTTATTTTTAATTTCAACCTTTGGTCTTAACCAGATGAATCGTAGAACAAGTTTTAGTTATTAAATGCTGTCATATAATAATAACAACAACAATAATAGTAATATTATTCTTCTGTTATCATTTTTCTGTGTTTTGTGTAATTTACTATTGACGAGACATTTTTTTGTTATAGGTTGCTTCATTTTTTTTAAATTCTTTGGAAATCTGTTATTGGTATCAGAGTTTTGACTAAAATAACTAAAACTAAATAAATTAAATGAGTCGTTTAAAATATTTTTTTATTCTATAAATAAATTAAAATTAAAAATTTCAAGTTGAAATTATTCATTTTAATTGAAGTGTATGTAC